GGAAAGAGCTTTCCTCCATTCACTACATTATGGTTTGATGTACCAATTCACCACTCCACTGTACGTCACAAATGCTCTTTTCGTGCCAATCACAATGCCACATAGCATTCGGAATCGGCATCGATACGTGCTGCCTGCTACCATCGGTAATTCTGTAGCATATCTAACTCTCTAAAAGTCTCCCACATTGCAGCTTTATTATGCATCCACTCCGTCGTTGATGTTTTCACTCTTGAATTCCCGCTTTGCTTGTGCACCTGGTATCCACTTCCCCAACTCCGCACAGCCTCCATTACTCCCAGGATAGCAGCTTCATCAGAGTGCTGCTGTGCCCTACCCTTCTCCACCCCATGTTTACCACGATTTTGCAATCTACCTGGCTCTGCTTTTCCGCATTTTGTTTCCACCTCTACCACCCTCACTTCACTTCCCACATTGCTTTCCAACAGACAATAATGCCCTACCGATTCTTTTCGGCAAAACCTGAGCAGATCTGAATTCTTCTCTGCACAATGACAGTCCGAGGATGAGTGAAATTCGGCAAGTGTCATTTTAACCAGTTACTTGACTGATATCGTGAATTTGCAAATTGCCAACCATTTCACTGAACTGACACAACCCACTGTGGTTTAATAGACTAGAATGGCACCCCACATGCATTTGTCTCCCCGACATTCACCTCACATCACTCTCGCAAATCCCTCGAACCATTCGCGTACTTAAACGCGTTGTTGTAATGCAAAAAAGAGCATGGTGGCATGGAAAGAAGTGGAGTTTGAGGAAAATGTCACCTATTGTGATATTTGGCACTTGGTTTGCCGTCGATGACAGCTATTCCATTTCCTGAACGCGGTAAATGGCATATATATAAGGCCAAATTGCGCATCACATTTCAAACTTTTCGACTGCCAACTTAGTGCACGACTTCATGAACGCAGCCTGTGACTTGGTGGAGCACTTACACCGTGCAACCGAATCACCAACACGGACTTGGCCATTTCCAATGCCTGTGTGTCCCAGCATCGCCATCGTTATCCACATCCATTCGCACGCAGACACACTAGTTCATTTTAGCTTCACACATGCTTACTGTCAGGCGAGCCTCAATCACCAGTGCAAACTGTGCAATGTGAATGCTTGTCACTAGTGGCACATCACGGTTCGCAACTCACGAGGTGTCACTCACTTCACACCTGAAGAGAGTCCAGAGCTACAGAAAAACTCGTCGTCCACTGCCGTATCTTCCTTGAAGTACGTCACTTCATTCCACGTTTCCTCCAACGATTGATGCACTTGGAGACAGAAATGCCGTCGTATTGATTTTGAGGCCGTCGAGCTTCATTCCTGACAGGTTAATCCATCGAGGCGTATGTCGTAACTGATTCGTCTCTTTACACACTCTGCCAATGCAAGAGGCGATTCGAGGCTTCCTCATTAACAGCTGCTCCAATAACGGCAGCAAATGTCAGAGCGAAAGACCTACACTGCCGAGGTGTGCCTCTTCGTCACATTGTAGGTGATGTGAGTTAGTAGCATTCCACATGTAAAACGGCAATGCTTTCAGTAAAATAACCCACACCGTGAGTAGGTTAATGAGGTTCTCTTGGAAAGATGTGATCAAGCGCTCATCACTTCTATTCTGCGTTGCAGTTGACAACATACTGCCTCCTGATTTTCCCAATTGCCAATAAGGTGAGTGCTCTTCAGATCCGAGGTGGAGTGAGCATTTCCTAATCAGTATCAACAACAAGCCAGCCTTAGATGAGACTGACTTGTGCAGAGACTGCGTCATATCACACCTTCTTCCAAAACGCTGATGTGACACCATCGTGATTGTCCTGTCGAAGTGGGCGAATTTAACTGAGGGAATCAACACACGCAAGCACTGCTTTCATCGCACTCGATCGCTTGTAGTCATGAAGCAGACAGTCTCACACGCCAGCACTTTTCCTCGGAATTCGGCTTGGCCTGTGCAGTAGCGAATAATGTGGGAAGAGTGACATTGGTTGGACCCCACACATGGAAGAGGCACAGCAACTTGTATTGTCTTGGTTACAGGTTTTCTCGAATTTGACTGCAA